CCGGAAGGAACCCTTCCGATTGATGAGGTACATCTACCTCATCGACCGGAAGGAAACCCTTCCGGTCAAGACTTATGGGGGCGGTACCCGTAGCGGTACCCGGGTACCTCCCCTTTTTTGCCAAAAAACCAGCACCCGGCACCGCCTGGCGAGTGCGAGGCGGGTGCGGGCGGTACCCGCCGAGCGGTACTAGGTACCTAGCAACGGTGTGGTAAATAATACTGTGTTTCTACGCAGAAAAATATAAAAATTTATTATTATCTCTTTATATATTATAGATATGGTAAAAATAACATCAGAAATGGATTTCTCAGGTAAAATTAACCCTAGTCACCCACTACAACTGACCCCATATCTTTCATAGTTTAGAAGTTACACAGATTTCAACCTGTCACGGGATATCTTTTGGATTCTTTACTCTCAGTATGGCTTGTTTTGAATACTGGATGCATATTGAATATTGAATTCCTTTGTGTTGTATTGAATTCCTTTATTGGCACATAGTGCATATTGAATTCCTTTGTAGGTGCACATGCATTCCTTTGTAGTAGGACCTTGTAGGCTAGCCAAATTCCCTCAAGGCAGTGCTCTCACCAGCCAAATTCCCTCACCTGCATGTACTAGACTAGCTAAAATCCCTCATTGGATTTTCAGGCCAGCTAAAATGCCTCAAAAGCCTGTACCCTGGGGCTAAAATCCCTCACATTTGTCTATATAAGGAGGCCTCTGCCTGCCAGTTGTACCTTCCATCATCCCACCAGTGGACCAGATCATCTCAACCACCCTTACAGATTATATACAAGTGACAGCCATAACAATACATTATATTGAAATACAACCATAACAGTTTCATCATCATAACAAGTGCCAAGTGCCCATAACCTGCCTCACATACCATTACTGGTTGAAGCATAGCGCTCCCAGAGCTCCAAGCCTTGGTATTAAAGCTTTGAACAACAACTCCATCAATATAATCATCACTCATTTAACAACTTCAGACCCTTATACACATCACTCGGAAGCTTCATCTTGAACTATCCTCTATCACGATAAATATAACTGCCAAGCTAAGCTTGGTGGTCTTGTTGTTCTGATAGCATAGAAGGGCAGAGCTTGCAACTCCAACATACCCTTCTCCATTCAGCAAAAGGGTTTCACAACCACTTTTGAGTCTTACAACGGGTACCGACGAACGATCTCTAATACATTTCCACCTTTTTCAGCACATGAGATATTTCAATCAATGGGGATTTCATCCTGTGGAAAGCTAAATATCAAATTGACCTTTACACCAACTTTCTCAGTCAAAATCTCTATTTCTATTATTATGGTTACTGACCTCAAGCATTAAGTGTTGGCAGGCCAGATGATTGTGCAATTAGCTGGTTCAAAAAAAAATTCAAGAGATTTGAAATTTCCAAACCCCACAAAAATAATCTGATGAAAAAACAACCAGTAAACCATATACAGATCCTTGGATTGCATGTGACTTGGGTTTGCCATGTCTGCATGTGAAATTTTCACCTCTGCACATTGAGATCTCACATTGGAAAAAGGGGGGGGGTACAAAATTTATAAAAGTACATCTCAAAATCTCCTTTGGGATGGCCCAAGCATCCTGGATCAGATATTCATGGCAACATCCACAAATCACACTTATAAATTATGACCTTCATAATATGTGCAACGCTGCCACAGATACGATACACTGTGTGTATCATGGAGAATTCTGCAAAGCTGCATGGCCAAAAACCAAATTTGTTGAATCTCCTTTCAAATAAAAGCAGATTGGTCAGATAGTTTTTTTATTGGGGCTCAGATACATAGTGATACATGGCAGATACGGGCAGATACCGTATCTGTGGCAGCGTTGATATGTGCCATGTCAATATTCAGCTTACAAGCATTCAAACCTTCAAAGGAGCTTTCCCTTCCCAACGCAAGCTCATACTCCGCTGTGGTGGCGGGAGCGCGCCTTGGCCAAAGCTTTGGCCGGTTTGTTTGGGGCATGCGGAATGCTCGCGGCGCTGACGCGGAAAGCACGCGGAGCTGACGCTACACAAGCAGGCTGAGGAAAGCGGCGGTGCATTAGTGGAAAGTCTAGCTTTCCGAGGCGCGGGAAAGCGGAGAAAAGCAAACCGAATGCACAAGGTTCTGAAAAGCTTACTGCGAGGAGTCCGGGCATTGGGGGACGCCGGGGATCACGGCCGACTGCGGAACGGGGGTTCAGGGTATACTGCGGAGGGGCTACAAGGAGCGGGGAGCACCGAGGGGCGGAAGCGGGGTTCGGAGCGGACCATAGGCGGAAGCGGCGGTGGGAGACCTGCTTACGAGCGGCCGGAGGAGTACCTGGACCGACAGGCGTCGGAGGGGTGACATGCGGAGTCCGAGGGGGTGACAGTGGATGACAGCGCGGGAAGTAGTAAGAGACTGGAGTGTGGGAAAACTGAGGAGGAGTGGACTTCGAGGCAGAAGAGGGGGGAGAGAGGGGGGACTTATGACTCAGAACATATCAGAAAAACAGAGTGACTTAGGAGTGAATCATGTATTAGCCTAAAGAATTGTTAGAGATAGATTAGAGTTAGAGTATTACCTACCAAAGAACAATAAAAGAGAGCTATTTTACCTACCTACAAGACCATCAAGCAAGTTACCCTGGACAACAAACCAGAGTAAGACGCGTTGCGGAGCGGAGAAGTACAAGAAATACCCTAGGGCGCGCCTTTCTTTCCACACCGCACCTTATCTTCCAGAGAAAATTTCAAAAATTCAGGAAGATCTGAGCAGAATTTTACTAATTGGGGCCAGGCAGGACAAAAAAGATACCTTCAAGCGGCTTTGGAAGGATATGATCATAAGTGAATCGCATCCTCCATCTCTGGACGGTAAGTCTAATGTGCCATAAATGTTCAAAATGTGGACTTCACATTTGACATGTTCCAATTTGGATCACACATATTTATGTTTTAATTCTCTTCTTGACCTTGGTATCCCTTTCAATAAGATTTTAGTGTCCAAGCTTTCACTATGAAAGATACAAAGAACCCCAGGCTATCTGCTGATAATTTCAATCCCTGTTCTTTTCAAACCACAGATGGACTCTCTAACAAAGCTATATGATATTGAGTCAATTCAGACATAGAGACCAACATCATGGTTTGTTGTGAGAAGAATAGGAAATTTCTATGATTGGAAATGTGGTTTCTCAAAATGGACACTCCCAGGGGAGAAACTTGCTGAAATTCAGTAGAAGCTAAGGCAAGCTGAAGATACACTGGGAATCTTTTTCCAAAAAAGGCTTCAAGAAATGAGTGGTCAATTGGATCAATTCAAAGGAATTTTTGCGGCCACATAAGAAACTCATGACTCATACAATTATGTGAGATGGATGATGATGAACTGTATTTTAGAAATCGAGGGTACATGGGGGTAGATAGGGTTAGATGATAAAGAAGAAGCAGTTCCATTCATCAGACAAGGAAGCAATTTAAATTGATTTCTTCATTGGGAGACATGTCTTGACCGGACTGGCCCAAGGTAAGTCTGCCTCTTTACATCTGGGCCCGGTTGCTCAGCGAGATATGTGTACATCACATCGCGGAACCACACGTTTGCGTGAGGGAAGCGAGGAATGGCATGTTTGATGTGATGGTACAATCGGCAGTGGCTGCAACAGGCCGCGACACGAAACCGCTTGATCTTTGCCTCAAATGGATGATTGTACATCTAGCTTCTCTTTCAGCGCATGTTAAGATGACGGTCGACTGGGGTATCATTTAATAGAAAGCTCAAGACAAAAGTGACCGTTCCACCGAATCGCTCAATCAAATCTGCTATCGCGGTATGGCCACTGCCCTCAAGGGGACACATGCCGGTCGGCCGGAGAAGGATGATAGACTTTGAGTAGCTGTACAATCAGCCCGTGCTCAAAACAGATCAAGAGATTTGAAATCTCCAAAGTCAAACCCCGCAAAAACACTATGATCAAACAACAAAAATGAGGTGGTGATTTATCGGAGAAGCATAGGACGGGGTGTACTTATCCGGTTGCGCCCCTCAGTGACGCGAAGTGAATGCTCACATTTATTTATTAAGGTGTATACCAAAATACAAGATAAGCGCAGCACAACTGAAACAAACCTATACGTCACTTGCTCCAGTGTTCAAGTGCCCAGATGGATTTAAGACTTGTCGCAGGTCAGGGAGCTTTCGGACCTGCCTAGAGTATACCCTGCTTTGTGATCACAATCTTCACTTCGTCCGACTATGAGTCTTGTCGGGACGGCGGAAGTGACCCGGCCGATGCGGATGGTGAGTGTATTCCTCTCCGCCCTGCACCAACGCAGCAATACCCTCAGCACAAATATAGTCTGGCAGAAGAGTCTCGGTGACTTGTGCGTCGCATGAGCTGATTGGCGGGAATTCTGTAAGCGTTGTTGTGTGCACATACTTATTAAGTAGATTGTGTATACTCGAGTGAAGGGTGAAAATTTGTCGCACCGGTGGTTTGTCGCAGAACCGTAACAGAAATATATCTGCTGCCTTGCAAGTTGTCAGGACTCAGTGTCGACTGGGGCACAAAGGGGCACTTCTGAAGAGCACTTTATAAAGGCAGGTCTACTTCAAGTTTCTCTCCTGGCATCCGATCTGCTAGATATTTATCTGCTCACGAATCCCCGCAGATAACTAAACTCAACATTTTCCAAGCCCTTTTTTAAATAAAGATTTACAAACTATCTATAGACGTTCTCTAGCCAAACCGTTTTGTCCATAAGACAAAATCAATAACGATGTTGCGCCTTTCCGCCATAGTCTACGTATGCTCTGCACTAAGCCATGTCCTTTCAACTCCCCTGGTACCCGCGCACCTTCCTAGTGCACCAGGACCATACCTCCGAAATGTACATGCCGCCCCAGTAGCGGAAGGCGCACTACCACGACGAATGCCGGAATTCGTGCCGAATTTCGAGCCGGAACATGTCCAGGAATACACAATACAGAAAGACGGGACGATCCGACATCGTCATCGTAAACTCCTTGGAGAAGAATCTACGATACCAGTTCCTCCACCAAGCGTTGCCATGTACAACGACTATGATACTAGAAAGATGACCCCCGACGAAGAACAGTGGGTCAAACACTTTGCCAAGACTCACAACCAGGGGAGGCCCTATAGGCTTACCGGAGAGAACCAATTTACTGAAATCCCCAAAGAAAACTGCGATCACGATTACTTTTGTGGCAGAATGAGATTCTACGATGGAGAGGACAAGCTGTTACACGACACTGGCTGCTGTCATTGCAACGCAAGTTGCTTGTCTGTAAAGGAAGCCAATGCTGCAGAAGTTGGGATAGGCATTGGTGTATTCTTTGGGGCTATCGCTGCGGTGTTTACTGGTGCGCTAGGATGTGCTGGCATGTGTGCCATTTGTGAAAAAACCCATTGTTGTACTTGTTGCTGTCGTTGAAGTCAATCGATTATGCAAGCGGCTCCGGGACAAAATTGAATCTGGCATGAAATCAACTGGGCAGTGTATCACCGCACGTTATCGGAAAAACCTCCAATGCAGCTGGGTAGTGTTTCAGAAAATCTCATCTCAAGGAATCATACTCGGTAACACAAATGACCCCGCTTAGAGAAAAACTTGTCTCAATGTACATAACCCCCGGCCCTCAAATGGCTTGAGGGGTGTTGAAATTCTGACTGATCTCTCTCATCTTTGACTCACGATTTCCTTTTTTCAAATTTATAAAACTCCAAAAATATTTTGTTAGATTCAGTTAAAGTGGTTGTTCTTCAGCATGATAGTAGTAACAAAGCACAGCATGGGGTATTTGAACCTTATCTAGTAGTTATTGTTTATTCATTCTAGTTGGAAGGTACAATCTCATTAACAGAAGTCATTTAAAAACTTGTTATCCAATATTTCTTTATTACTTTAAGCACAAGTTGAATATCTTTCACTTAGCCTATTCAGAAAACTGGTGTTTGCATGAAAATAAAGACTCGCAGGTTCTCTCATAAAAATCCCTGTTCCATCTTTAATCCCCCAAAGTGACACTTGAGTCCAGTGTGGAGGTTGAAATAGAGCCAGTAAATAAAACGTATCACTGCTCATGTAACACAACCACAGTTGGAGATGGCAACAAAGCAGACTGAGTACCCAATGCGGCAAATGCATGGGGCACAATAGTACGTGAATTCAACGCTGCAACAAATACAATACACAGTTTGTATCATGAGGAATTGTACCAACATATATGGCAAAGAGCTAGATTAAATGAATGACTCTCAATAGAACCAAATTGGTCATGAAAAAAATTGCATCAAGACCATGATACATGAAAAAATACATGCCAATACATTGCAAATACTGTATTTGTTTCAGCTTTGACCTGATCAGGTTTGCAGGAAGCGACACTCCCACAGCTAATTAGACAATGAAAGTTAGGTACAGTTGCGAACGTTGTGGTGTGCTGTGCCTGTTCCAATGCCAAAAGCATACAGCAGAGGTGTTGGGATAGCATAGGTACATACATGTGACAATCATTACAAGAGAAGGAACAATCATTATGGATGAGGTGTGGTATATACGGACAGGATTACATACAATGAGTGGATTGGGAGAACATGTCTCGACCAGGAATGGAACAAAGGAGTGGTGTGCATACGAGGATTGGAGTGGGAGATCATATCTCAACCAGGAATGGAACGGAGGAGCGGAAGTATATACGTGGAGAGGAGTGAGAGAACATGTCTCGACCAGGAATGGAACGGAGGAGCGGTGTGTAATAAGGGTACTTTATGTTTTATGTAAGGGTACAGGGTACGGATTGTGGAAAGTGAAGGGAGGAAAAATATTGAGGCGGAGGGAGGAAGGAAGGAGTGAGGAGAGGCTTTGACCCCCAAATTCTGGATGGGAGGAGATAACAGCAGGTCTGGCAGGCTGGTACTGCCTATGCAGAATGTTCTGGAAGATGGCTTGGTTACCTGGTGACACATGACATCATGCTGCGCTTGGTTCTGGAAGATGGCTTGGTTGCCTGGCAATGCATGACATCATGCTGCGCTTGTGTGCTCCCTTGCATACATATTATGTGACAAGGTCTGGAGTTAAGTGTTCCTAGCACAGCATAAGCTGTGCTATTTGTTTGGAGGCTGTGAAGGTGAGATCCCCTGCAGCAATATTCCCTCACAAGGAGTCCCCTGCAGCAGAAATCCCTCACTCTTCAATATAAAAGAAGGGCCTCTCCCCACCAGAAAGTCCCTTCTCCCCATCAGCCTACTGCGGTAAGTTTGATCACCCAAGTTGAAGAATAAGTTAGTAAGTGAGTGAGTTAGTGATAAGAAGAGAGTTAGTACAGTATTGTAAGCGTGAAACCAACACAGAGTTCGGAATTTGAAGCATATTAGTAGTAGTAGTCATCATATAAGTAGCAGTACATTAACAATTAACCAATAACAAGTAGTAGTAGTATTAGTACCGGAGCTCTAGTTTTTGATTAAAGTGCCTTAGCAAGAAATTGTTTGAGGAAGAGATCATTAACAAACTCTATAAGAAATCATCTGTTTTGTGCTCAAGTCATCAGCACCACAGTTTCCATTATTAACCTGAAGTTGTAACAGATTCATTAGTAGATTGATACGTGATCTAGGTCTGATAGAGATTACTTTACAAAAGTAAGATCTATCTTGGAATCAGCCATACATTATTAAATATTGATTACAAGACTCTTAGTTATTTGTTTAGTACATTTAGAGGGGCAGGTCTTTCAAACCACCCGTAAGTTGTAATAGCCTTTCAACCTATTTGCAATTTATGTCCCCCTCAAGGGATCTTTTGATATACATATACTTTACCGTGTCTATCCGTCCCAGGAGTCCTACAACGTCATAAACCTGTACTGACCCGCCTGCAAAATTTACAATTTGCACACGGGCCCTCATGGTAGGGGGAACATAGGCTCAACCCCCCATCTAAACACAATTTTGAGCCTTTCAGACTGAGGGGAGTTCAGAATTAACTCTGCTAAGGCATCCGACCAACGGTTCTTTTTTTTTCTTTTTTTTTCTCCGCCCCATCGGACCCGGTCTATAAATACTTTAGTAAGTACATATGTATGGATTTAAAGGTGACTATATGGCTTAAGAAAGGCCATACATGACATAAGTACATGCTTGTAACCCATACCCAAAGGTCAAAAAGGCTTGTAGTAAGTACAACCTCGGCTCGGAGTCGAACACACAACCCTTTGCAAGGCATAAAGCCACCCAGGACCACTACACCAATACACATATGACTTCCAGAGAGCCTGGCCGGTTGCTGCCAGGTCAGAAAATCTCCTGATTTGGTAGTATTTTCACAAAAAAAAATCACAAAATTTTGGTCCCCAACCGTCCGGACCCAAAAAAAATGTGGTCGGTTAATGACGTTCGCAACTGTATGCACAAGTTATTGAGCCCCCGCATAGCTGGCACACTTGGGCTCAGAGTCCAGAAGATGTTGTTACATGTGTCAAAATTGCCTGGTTTGAAGTTGAAGGCCCCCAGCCCACTACAAAGGTAGCAGAAAAGTGGGGGGTCAGCTGGTTGACCCCTCAGAGCATCTCTAACGGTCCGGGGGGCAGTTGATGCGTGTTCCCCGGCCCGCGATCACATTTCACAGAGTCCGCGGGTCAGCTCCAATTATGGACTGGCTCTTCATGGCCGCCCCAATGACTTAAATTTACAAAGCTGGGAGACCGAATTGAGCAAAGGTCTTGGTTATCAAAGTCACCTTGGAATCTAATTGATATCCACCAGGGGAGTTTGCTCAGCACCTGCTTTCAGGTGCCATCAGTGAACTTGGTCATAGATCTGGTTTGAAGTCTGTTCAAAGACAGTTAGAAAACATGTTGATGTGTACCACAATCTGGAATACAACACATGTTGATGTCTACTGCAACTTAGCCTGATGTGACCCGGAATTGTACTGGATATATTATGGAATGCATGTGTAGAATATACCCCAGACCTATGCTGAAACCAAGTTCAACTTTTCAGCAAAAATTTGTTGATCCAAAGCTTTGGCCCAAGCTTGCAATATCTTGACTCTTATGATTTCCCACCTGGTTGCGAGCCACTATCTCAGTAAGTCACTCTGAGATGTTTTTTTAAGGGACCCACTATTTACAAGGAGGCGTGTGAGTTGAACAAGCCCTTTCCAATGCCTATATCATGTGATTATTATGTACAAACAACTTACAAAGTTAGTGGTTACCAGGCCTCCTAAACTTTTGGTATTGACTTACCAAAGAGTACGATTATTGGAAGCCAAATGCTCACTATGTTGGATTGATTTGCAAAGAAAATACAGCAGTCAACATGTTGACCAATCCAATCCAACAGGTGCAGGTGTTTTTTTTTACAAAACTTTCCAGCTTACATCACTACCTCATGTAGCTCCCTGCAGCCAATGTGAGTGAGTCAAAATAAGCACCAAAGGCAGTTTATTGTCAGATGTTGTGATGGGGATTCCAAATCCTTTACAAATTCTAGATAAGAGAAAGGTAAAAAATACAACCATCCTATCCTTTTTCCAACCCTCACATTATTCACAAACTCAGTCAGATTCTCTTGTTCCTCCATCCAACATTTAAAATGTATTATACCTTGGTCAATTTGTCATATATAAATATTCCCCTAGCTCAGCTTCCCTTCCTGATAACCCACAAAAATTTCTCCTAAACCAAGTCACAGACCAAGTGCATGTGTTATGTGCCCCGATACAATTGTTTAGGGATATCAGCTGAGTTCATAGCAAATTCCTTTTTCCATTTTTAGGTTCCGTGGGCAGCTTCTCAACATCAATAACAGAAAAAGGAATGGTCTCATTTGAAAAATCCCTGATAAAAATTTGAGCTTTCCTTTTTACCAAAATATGTAATGATCCTCAACTGCGGGGTTGCATATCTGGTCTTGACTCAAACAAGGCAATCATTTCATCTGCTTTCTCCAAGGCACAAATCAATCTCTCCCCCAACTACAATACCATCCTATTTTTCAATATCCCCCTAATGGCACTAGTACTACAGAAGAGAATCATTCTTATTGTTTTATTCTCAGAAAATGTGTACCCACCTTGAAAGACCACCAACATACAGCTTCATCCCCAAAAGAAACGAGTCTACTAAAAAAACCAAATTTTTCAACTTGTGGAACTACCCCATCAATATTTGGATGAAATGATGTAGTAAACTTCTGAACTAAGACTTGAAAAAAGAGACCAATTTAGTAGCCAAGGATCCATACTTGCTGATGAAATGGGAGTAGGAGAAAATTTAACCAGCCTTGCATTAGTTCTAGAAACCACTAAATTGGCCAAAAGCTTCCAGATGAGCGGTTCTGACAATAATCCAGTTCAATCTTTGGCCACCCTTATTATTTTTCTGCTAGCAAGCTTTTCAAACTGGTAAAATGAGATCGAGATTCACATTTCCAAGGGTGTCTTCCCTCACTGTATTTTCCATGGACGAGATTGAGGTCACCTGGTGAGCAGTAGCATTCAAGTTTCAACCAAATTTTTCAGACACCTGAACAAGATACATCAAGTCTGCAATTCTGAAATCATCCAGTCTTGGTGTGTGATGAAAGTCCT